GATATCCCCATGACTGCCCCTTCCTGGCCACATGGCACTTCCTGGGAATTCAGCAGATGGGAGCACAGACCTTCCAGCCCGAAAGCTGGAAGTACTCAAAGGGTTGGAAGTCTATACTTTGCATCCCACTCTCTTGCCTCAGTTTGTGCCAGTCATTTGCAAATTTTCATCAACACTGAAAAAGCATCACAGCAGGATTGCTTAGGTTGGTTTCATCCTTCACCTCTGCTTTGTGAAACTTAGTTTTGTCCCTGACTCCATCTTATAACTAGGAAGTAGTTTGAAAAAGCATTTTGGAATATGTGGATATAAACCTTGATCTACTGAGCCTTTGAAAAAGGAGAGGACATTGCATTGAAATCATACACCAGAGTCATGAAAAAGAAGAGGAATGAGTTGGATGTTGGTCACCCTGTTTTCATCTTACCAGTTTGCACTTTTCTCCTGAGCTAGTGAGGCCTGTATAAGGAATGTGAACAACTTCCAGCTTTACTCCAAAACTAAATGCGATCCCATTACGCCCCCGCTCTTGATCAAGGCATACGTCCCAAAAACTCCAAGAGTCATTACAGAACTGGGAGATAGCAGTGCTAATTTAATTCTTTTCCCTGTCTCTGAACCCAAAAAAAAAAAAATGCAGATGCAGTGGAAATTCTAGAATTGTGTAGTCTAGATGATGGAAGGGCTGCCTAAGCACTGATGAGTTTTACTGGCTATGCTCCTGATTTGTCAGGCATAGCCTAGTGACATAGTTGTGGGCAGCTCAGATGTGCTTTTTGGGTAACGTGGTCTTTCTGTGATTAAAAAGATAAAGATGCAATCAAAATAATTTTGAAACAATTATTTACTAAATTTTAAAATAGATGTAAACTATTTATTTCCAAGGTTCAGGATGATTGGTCTGGGTCACTTAATAGGAAGAAGAGCACTGATTTACTCTGGTGCAAGTGCATGTTGAAGCATGAATGGCTAAACAAGAGACGGAAGATGCTGGGAAGTAAAAAAATTACATTTAAACCACATACAGTAGGTCTTGTGTTTTCCTCTTAGAAGTTGCACATAATCATATGAAATTCAAACCATTTTATCCAGGGAAAAGAATAGTTGTTCTAAGAGTAACCCTGGAAAGAGCTTTCAGGACATGAAGCTTGAGTACAGATCAAGCTCTTTGCAGAAATACCAACGGCAAAGTGATGTACCTGCTCCTAAGAGCACTTAAACCCAAAAGAGCCCTGCTTTTTGTGCTCTGAGAACATTCTGCATACAAACTCTATAAAATCCTGCTGACTTGAATATCGCCCGAGCAGCTCTGAACACAGGGATCCCTCCATCCTCAGACAAGTAGAATAAATTATGCTATTTATTTATAAATAAATGCGTCTCAGAGGGTTGTGCCTACTGGACTGGATGGGGGGAAAGGGGCAGCTACTCCCACCTCCTGCTTGGTTTGCAGTGCAGTCACAGCAGCTCTAGCATGTCTTGCACTGCCTGCTCTGGAGCAGAGGTGGTGCCAGCCCTGGGAGCAGTGCTCGGTGGGGGGGGAACACTGAGCAGTGCTCACTGGCTTGGGGAAAACAGCTCAGGTCAGAGGTTTTCCTCTGGTTTCCAAGGGGCATGTGCTTTGCCAAGGGCTGTGTTCCACAGGGGAATGCCACCCTCAGCCTCAAGCAAGGAATCTTAAAATACTCTTTCTTGGCAAGTTAAATAACAGAAGCAGTTCCTAAAGGCTTTAGGAATCTGTTACCTTTGAATTACAATGCCAACAGCTATCAGCATAAAGCCAAAGAAGATGAACCGTTCAACCCCGATCTGCTGAGCACCTGAAGCAGCCGAGATGTGGCTCTGGCTCTGGCTCTGGAACGTGACTGTGCAAAGCTGAATTAGAAGCCAATAAGTGCACACTGAAAGTAAGATGTCAAGGGGAGTTCACAGTGTGATAAACTGAGAGAATGATTCAGGCTAATTAAAAGAAAAACAGTGTAAAGTCAATACGACCTGGAGAGAGAAAAGAAAAACAAATCACAAAACTTAATTGGGACCCTATAAAGACATAAACCAAGTTACCTCCCTTTTACCCTGTGTAAGATTTATAGTGAAGGAATTTCGTTTAGTTAGCTAGATAATAGCACCTTTCTTAAAAATTTATAACTTTGTATTGATAACAGGCAAACATCTGCTGAATGTCTTACTTGACAATATATTATGGATGCTTATAGATAATATTCTTGTTTAAGAAAAACACCTGTTGAATGTCTGACTTAACAATGTGTAATGTTTATGCTTATGTATAATGAATATTCATGAATTAGCTGGAAATAAATGTAGAACAACTGTCTTCTTTGGCTGTGACAGGCGTTGGGAGTTGTTAAAACCCCTCCCTGATCACCCAGCGCTGAATTTGCTTTTATCATATAATAAATTCTAATTGGAAATCACCCGACTCTGGGTTTCTATTTATCACAACAGCAAACAGTGCGCATAGGCTTGAGAACCCACCACTGAGAACAGGCACGGACCTGACCTTCTCTCTGAAATAATAAGGGCGCCTTTGTGACACTGGTCTCGGATGCCTGCAAAACCCTGCCGCGCTCTGGCAGGTAATCCCGAGGTCCGAGTGGGAGAAGTGGCCATCTGCTGCTAAGAGCATCTCCCAGGAAGCGGGAGGCCGAGTTCCAATGTGCTGTTTCCCACACCCCGAGAGGTGCCCCAACCCCAACCCCGCCGTCCCCGCGCCCTCCCGGTACCCCCGGAGGGCCCCGCTCTGCCCGAGGCGGCCCCGGCGGTGACGCGGCCCCGCAACGGCCGCGCCGGGGTTGTTGTTGGTAACGGCCAAGATGGCGGAGGCGGCGCGGCCGCCCCTGCCCGACTCGGTGCTGCTGCAGGTCCTGGCGCTGCTGCCGCTGCGGGACCGGCTGCGAGCGGCCAGGTAGGGCCCCCCCGGCGCCGGCACCGGCCGCCTCCCGCCTCCCCGCCCCGGCGCTGACGGCTGATCGCCTCCCCGCAGGGTCTGCCGGCGGTGGCAACAGCTGGCGCAGGACCGAGCGGTCTGGACACATGTGGATCTGAGCCCTCACCGGGTACGGGCCGCCCGTCCCAC